CCGGGCGGTAAAGCACATGAAATCCAAAGACCCGCCAGGTACTCGTGGGGCGGAGGGAGCCTCGGCTGTGGCTGAGCAGAGGGGACAGAGGCCTGAGCCTTGTCTGCATCTCTGACCTGAACTACCCAGCAGGGTGGCAGTGCCAAAAATACATCCTGACTTTGCAACTGTGTGATGGAAATGCTGGTGCTCAGGGGCTCATTAGGGCTAGGATCTGTCAATGTGATGAGAAAATGGATTTTGAATATCTATTCTGGAGTGCTACACCGGCCGGGCTACCTGCCCTGCCCAGCACCCTCGCTCATGTAGGTGCGAACCTTCTGATCTGCCCATTTTCTTGCAGTGCTCAGCCTTTTGTATCTTTGTTTTTCTTAGGGAGAAATGAAGGCCATGACTTCCACCTGCAGCCATCATGAAGACACTTCCCCAAGTGTGACATAACCATATCTTCCAGTGTCTCCTCTAGCCCGTGCTCTAGAACAGAACGATTCATACGATAGTTAATACAACTCCGTGAGTTCTCTTGTAACATTTGCAGAAATGTGTATTTCATAGAATTTCTAGCTCAAAATTTAGAAGTTTTAAGTTTCAGAATGCTTTGAATTTAGTTGTTTGTTTTTTTTTTGTAAGAGAGGGGATAAAAAAAATCAACTACTAAATAGTGTAGTGTCTTCTTTTCTCTTTGTGTTCTCAGGTACAAAATATTTTTCACTTCAAGATTAGTTCCTCATTAATAATTAGTTAGTAATTTTACATTACTTAACTTTGGCCTCTGCTTTGCTTTGTTGTGGTTGGCATTTATGCAGCACTGGGCAAGTCCCCTTTCATAGCCTAAGGAAAATTGCTGACATTAACGTGTCCTTGCCTTGGGTGGGCTGTGTGACTGTCATTCATACAGTTCCAAAAGAGATTCCAGAATCGGCACTGTGAGGATCCCCGCTAACTGAGTTCCAGTCCTGGCAGGCTCTCTGCCCTGTACCTCAGCAGAACCGGCTGCCACTGCCTGGCTCTACAAAAATCTGTCGTTTGCACCAACGACCAAAAGCTGAAGCAACGCGCTGAAGAGCCAAGCTCAACCAGCGAAGTGGAGAATGTCGTTCTTTGCTTTTTGATGTTCTCTGTACTTGAAACAAACCACCCCTGCGCGCCATTTAAAAAAATAACTTCTTTTTGCATGACATTTTCCTGTGCTTTTCTTAACCTACCCATGTGTGCTTCCATGCTGCTGCTGGGCTCCTGAGGGGAGAGGTTGGACTCTGCAGGACTTGTCAGCTGTGCAGGGTTAGCACAGGGCTAGCTCCAGAGAACATGGAGCACGTGCCTTTTACACGCAGGTTTTAACAAGCATGAGGACACTGCCCTGCCTGAACTGGGAAACACTTTTGAACAGGCTGGCTGTCCTACAGCCCTCTTGTTTCAGGAACCAGCGCTGCGTCTGCACTGCCATCAAAGGGTGGCAGACCCGCTCCGGGCTGACTCTGTGGGGGTTAAAGCCCCTCAGCCCATAGTCGTCTTCGTATCCTGGATCCTGCCTTGTTTTCACTTCACTAAAGGCAAGCTGGATGAGAATAGTGACCGAGCTAAATGGGCTGCAAGTGCAGGATTCACCAAGGTTATGCTGCTCCAAGCAGCATTTGATAAAGCTGGAAGGTTTACCTTTTTTTTGTTTTGTTTCCCCGTAAGTGTCTGTGTGCCAGGGAGAGTGTGCGAGTGGGAAAGGGCAAGCAATAAAACATTTCCTCTGAAGCACAACGGTCTTACCTTCACACAGTGCCATACAGTGGCAGACCCAGCATGATTTACTCTTTAATAAAATATTTAAAAGCTGGTTGTTGGGGTTTTTTTTCATCATTACAAAATTCAGTAAACGCCAGCCATGGAGGCACTGAACTGACCACCGCCAGCACAGAGCGCAGCACCAGATGCTCTGCTGTCGCTGGTGCCTATTGAACCTCACCCTCCTCTGTGCCTTAAAGGCTTCCCGGCTTGCTGCAGGGCCGATGGCTGGTCCCTGGCCGTTCCTCTCTGGCTTCGGCTTCGTGCTCCCACAAACCATCCTTCCCCGAAGCCAGTCGACTTGTAGGAGCCCTTTTGCTTTCTAAGTGCTGGGTCTAAACTCCTGGTTTAGCTGGCCTCTTCTGGGAGCAGGGAAGGGTGTGCTTGGAAGTGGTCCCTGGCAGGTGACGGCACAGTGGTGGGGATAAATCAACGTAGTGAGAAGCGCTTTGCCCAGGGGCTGTTTCCTACAGACATGTCCTATCGGCTTCAAGCAAAGGCTGAGGCTGTCAGCGCTGCATGCGCAAACCCCGTGGCACGAGAGCGGCAGCCGCTCGTCCGCCCTGCGGTGCAGTGAGCTGAGGATAACTGGTTTGTCTATGGGTGACTCTGGCAATGCTTTGTTCTTCTAAAAAAGTACATAAAATAGGCCAGAAGATGCCATTTTTATTTAGAGCTGAGAATGTCATTTCAGTTTGTGATGTAAATTATTAAGACGGAGGCTTGTTTGTGTTGTTTCTTTTGGGTACTCAAGAGTCTGGAATTGCTCTGGGCTCAAACAAGGTGGAAACAGAGAGAGAAGCTCACGGTACCTGCGGGACAAGGAGTCGGTGTCTGGTTATGGGAACAGTAATATGGAAATTCTATAGATTTCATGCATTGACTTTGGTGTGAAGAGCTACAGATCCTTTCAGAGAGCAGCAGCCACATTTTGTGGGCATGACTTCCAGTGAGCTGAAGATAACTGGTTTGTCTATGGGTGACTCTGGCAATGCTTTGTTCTTCTAAAAAAGTACATAAAATAGGCCAGAAGATGCCATTTTTATTTAGAGCTGAGAATGTCATTTCAGTTTGTGATGTAAATTATTAAGACGGAGGCTTGTTTGTGTTGTTTCTTTTGGGTACTCAAGAGTCTGGAATTGCTCTGGGCTCAAACAAGGTGGAAACAGAGAGAGAAGCTCACGGTACCTGCGGGACAAGGAGTCGGTGTCTGGTTATGGGAACAGTAATATGGAAATTCTATAGATTTCATGCATTGACTTTGGTGTGAAGAGCTACAGATCCTTTCAGAGAGCAGCAGCCACATTTTGTGGGCATGACTTCACCAGACAACGGCTGTACCGCCCGCTTCTTCCTTCCCACACCCCCAAGCCCCCACCCACACTGGGACGCAGCCCCTCGCTGCTGCAGGTGCTCTGCCCCGTCCCTCCCCTTCCCTGGGTGCCGCAGTCCTGGCTCTGACAGCTGAGTTTTGCAGCTCAGCACAGGGACTCTGCGTCCCCTGCCCTGGCCCTCCCCACTCTGCCTTCTCCCCAGC